CTGAGTAGTCCTGCAGGAATTCTAATTTAGAGACCCAGAGAGTTGAACTGTGAAACCACCTGCTGAGGGAGGGGGCAGTTGGGGAGTGGGGGCAGAGGGGAGCAGCCTTCAAGGAATCTAATTCCCCTTACTGTCATACCAATCATACCAATAGAGGATCTCTCTCTACCCCAGCCTGAACACTTGCCCCCAACCCCCACATACAGTATACCATAGGGAGGTCCCTCCCAAACATCATCTTCATGCTTAGACTCCAAATTTTCCGATGAATTATGGTCTAATTTTCCTCACATATTAATTTCCACAGAAATAGAAATTAACTTATGGAATGCCCATAGCGATGTCCCTGTTTCCATATCCATAGCATGGCGGTGGTTCCTGTTTATAGAGATGCAAATGAATTTTGTCTAAAGGAGACTACAAATCTTTGTCCGATTCTCATTTGAACCTGTTGTAAAATCTTTCTGGTTCCATCATTTATTAATGAGTTAAATAAAATCTTTGACACATGCTTATTTTCTATGTATATGAAAGTCATAATTTTAGCTTTTTTTTTTTTTTTAAGTTGTCCTTTAAAACTTTAGGAGAGGGGGAAAAATATCTTTTCCCCTTTCTCTTCCTAGGTTTTCCAGCTGGGGCACTGTAAACTAGACCAATAAAAGACAGGTATTTGTTGGTTGGTTTGTTTTCTCTCTTAAAAAAATTTTTTTAAAAATTTTTACTGAGATATACTTGACATATAACATTTTATTAGTTTCACGTGTACAACAAAGGGACAGGTTAATAGGAGAAAAACAAAACAAAGTTTATTAACTTCTGTGTACCATGTACGTAATGTGTAGGAGTAAGTACCCACAGATGAGTAACTCCAAGGGGTGGCTAGAATTTGGGCTATACACCTAACTTAGTAGGAAAAAGGGAAGATAAGGGAGGACACTTAGGGAAAAGCAAATGACTTTTGAGGAAGATAAATGGGCCCTTAGAAGAACAGATGGGAGATATGCTAGCTTGTGATCTTGTCTGTCTGGGTGTGGTGCCAATTTCTGGTCTCCTAGGAGAGAAGATTAGAGTTGTTCTCAGAAGGGGATTTATGACACTTAAGTTCTTTTGGGAGGCTCTGCTTTTAGGTCAAGGGACTTCAAGAACTCAAATGCCTTTAGCATTTGAAATTCTTATGCACATGCAAAACGGCATATTCTGGGGTGGCATGTCCTGGCCCTCAACACTTCCATAGAACAATTTTCTTTGTATTGGCATCATCTCTAGCACAGTGCTAAGCACAGAGTGTGTTTTCAGTAAATGGCTATTCAGTAAAGGATTGCAGAGTTGCATTATAGCCTAGCCAAAGACAATTAAGGACAACAGACATATATAAAACCAGAACCCCCAAGGATCTCCTGGACAACACCCAGCATTATAGGAAGGGGATCTAGCAACCTATGAGCCCAAGTCTTTCACCATTTCTCCGCACATAAAAATGCTGCAAAGAGATGCTATGGGTGAGAAGGAAAAAAAAAAAAGCCATTAGTCTGAGTGTTGTAACAGGGAAGGTTTCATGAGAAGTTAACATTGATTTGGGGTTCGAAAGAATGAAAGGAATTCTTTTTCTCTTAAGATTTATTTATTTGAGGGTGCCTGGGTGGCTCAGTTGGTTGGGCGACTGCCTTCGGCTCAGGTCGTGATCCTGGAGTCCCAGGATCGAGTCCCACATTGGGCTCCCTGCTCGGCGGGGAGTCTGCTTCTCCCTCTGACCCTCCTCCCTCTCATGCTCTCTGTCTCTCATTCTCTCTCTCGCAAATAAATAAAATCTTAAAAAAAAAAAGATTTATTTATTTGAGAGGGAGAGGGAGAAAGAGAGAGAATGAGTGGGGAGAGGGGCAGAGGGAGAGAATCTCAAGCAGACTCCCCATGAGCACGGAGCCCAACGTGGAGCTCTCTCTCATGACCCTGAGATCATGAGCTGAGCTGAAATCAAGAGTTGGATGCTTAACCGACTGAACCACCCAGGTGCCCCGAAAGAATGAATAGGAATTCTTCATGTGGAGAGATGGAGAAAAGAGAGTTTCTCCATGGAAAAATGCAGTGGGCAGAGGCATTGAGTACAAAAAAGCATGAGTGATACGAAAGAAAGGGAGACAACGTTATCTGATGGTATCCAGATATGGGAGGTGGATAAAAGAGAAAATGAGACTGGGAAGGTAATGCAGAGGTCACTATAGACTGAATCTGGTCATCATTTGGAGGTGGTAGGGAGCCACTGAAGGGTTTTGAGCTGGAAAAGAGCTGATGTGAGTTTTACATTAGTATTAACTTGGCATCCCCTTACATCGTTATGTAAAGTGGATTGGAGAGGGCAGAAATACACAGCAGCCGGGCAGCTGAAAATATGAAACCGGAGCTCAAAACTATGTCAGGACAGAGATAAGGATATGAGAATTATCACAGTAGCGGGGCTGGTTGAAATGAGCACGCAAAGTTGAATACCGAAAATGTCTGAAGTTTATTATCAGCGACAGTGTCTACCTCTACTTTTCTCTTACTTTCTTCTCCTCCATACTCCCCCCACCGAAGACTGTGAGGTCCCCAGGGTAGGAGCTGTGTCTTATTCCTGCTTGTTTTCGGGCACCATACCCTGGCATGCAAGCTCAATAAATAATTTGCTGATGAAAAAGAGCATGCAGGGAAAGGAAAAAACACATTTCTCAGAAAGGTGGTGAGGGCAAAAAGGATGATACTGAAGAGTTTTGATATAATGGAGAGACTACTGACGGACATTTTATTGGATGGCTTCAAATCTTTTCAGGAAAGCATTTGATATATTGCAGGGCATCACGTGATTGAGGATGGGCTTGCCAGAAATGTGCACGGGAGACTCCCCTACGCTTGTGTGTCTGTTTTTAGTGCCCTTCTGTGTATCTGGAGTGCTCCCTGCAGCCCTCTTCTCCCTGACTCTATTATCTCTCATTTAGTATGCTTATCTCTCAAAGCCTAACTCAAATGCCTCCAACTTTTCTGGGACATTCTCTCTGATACTATTTCAAGTTAATTAATCCTTTTTCTATGTCTATACTTCTCTCCTTGTTAATCCCATTAGATTATAAATTACTTGAAGACAGGAAGAGGGTTTTACTCATCTGTATAGCCTCCCCCTGACCTGATGGGAAGCAGTCATCCAATAAATGTTTGCTGACATTTGAAATCAAATGAGTTTAAGAATATGCTGAATGGCAGAAAGGGCAAAGCTGAAGTTATATAGCTTGAAGTCTTGGTGGACCAGAACAGCGTGGTTTTTGTGACTAACAGGAGTGAGGTGATGGACAGACAGAACCAGGGAAGGATTCAAGAACTTCAGGCTATGATGCAGGCAGATGAAATTTCACTAAAACTCAAGATTATTATTATTATTATTATTATTATTATTTAAGTAGGCTCCACACCCAACGAGGGGCTTGAACGCACAACCCCAAGATCAAGAGTCGCATGCTCTACCCATTGAGCCAGCCAGGTGCCCCAGGAATTTTGGTGTTGTTGTTGTTAGAGAAATCCAAACTTTGATGTCCCTACCTGGAAAAACAAAGACACAGACATGATGCTCATGTGTATTTTATGGTAGGAAGGGATGTAATTTTTTCCCAACTGACTTCCTCTTACTAATCGGCAGTGAAGCCCCCCAAAAGGAAAGCCGAACAATGAAGTCCTCTGTATCAGACTTGAATTTTAAGCATTGACTTCTCCTCTTTAACTCCTCCAGTCCCCCCTCACCTGGACTCTAAACTTTTGTAAGAACAAAACAGATTGATTTTATAGTGTCACTTTTTTGCCTTCATTTCCAAACTTTCTGGAAGAGCACTTAATGAGCAGTGAAATGAATGCAGATGGCCACAGGAAGTGGGAGAGAGGTAACTGGTATACCAGGATCATGAATTAAACGGTCTTAGATGGTTATTTTCAAATCCCAGTTCTGCTACTTGTCTGCAGTGGGGATAATGGCTACAGGATTCCCCTCTTATCTGTGCAGAATATGTTCCCAAATCCCCCCTGGATGCCTGAAACCATGAATAGTGCCAAATCCTATATATACCATGTTTTCTCTCCCTCTCTCAAAATCTTACTGTACCATACCCCCCCTTCTTCTTGTGATGATGTGAGATGATACAGTGCCTCTGTGATACGTGTTAGGCTACAATTGGCAGAAGGAGGATCATCTGCTTCTGGACCTCGGGTACTGAAACCATGGGAAGTGAAACCACAGAGAAGGGGAGGAACTACTTAACTTGCAAAAACACTATGTGGGAAATTAACTAGGTGTAAAAGTGCTGAGCAAAGGGAGTGTAGTGTATTTTGAATAGCTCACATGCAGGTGGTAGAAAACTAGAAAGTCAGAAAGGGTATGCAGGGGAGGGGCGCCTGGGTGGCTCAGTCTGTTGAGCGTCTGACTCTTGATTTCGGCTCAGGTCATGATCTCAAGGTGGTGGGATTGAGCCCTGTGTTGGGCTCTGCACTGGGCTGGGTGTAGAGCCTGCTTGCTCTCTCTCTCTCAAAAAAAAGAGGGGGGGTATGCAGGGAAAAGGTAAGTCTTCTCTCCATCATTTTCAACCAAATCTCCTCACAGCCAACTCTTGATACCCTTATATGCATTTATTGTGCATTCCCTTCCTTCCTTGACTTAGCTGTGTGAACTTGATTGAACACATAATTCAAATGTAAAATCCCTTACCTATGAAATGAAATGGTTTTCAGCATTTAATGAAACAGTTACTACTTTCTAATTAAAATGCTACACAAATAAGAGGTATTATCTTGGGAAGGAGAAGCAAGGCCTAGACAAACATATGGTACTTTTAACTTCATTTGGAACAGAGGTCTCTTGACCCTTAGAAATCAGCCCTGGGCTTGACTACTTTGTTCCATTAGGAGTACTCCCTTTCCTCATCTGGACATCAGCAAAAGATGAAGGCTGAGAGCCGCATTGCCTGACCCTGCCTTGGTCTGTCCCACAGGTGATCACTTACTCCAGCCGTCATGTCTACAGTAACTTGACTGAGGAGCAGAAGGGCCGAGTGGCCTTTGCTTCCAATTTCCTGGCAGGAGATGCTTCCCTGCAGATTGAGCCTCTGAAGCCCAGTGATGAGGGCCGCTACAGCTGCAAAGTGAAGAATTCAGGGCGCTATGTGTGGAGCCATGTCATCTTAAAAGTCTTAGGTAAGCTGGAGTGTCAAGGTAAACGCCTCCATCTTATTAATAAGGTCTCTGTGAGGAATAGCCAAATGCCCCATGGTGGTACATAACCTTTTGTTTGATACCCTGTGTTATACATTCACAGATCACCTAGTGCAGTTCCCTGGGAAGAAGTATGTTCTCTATTTTAGACATAATAAAAGAAAAAAGAACAATCACAATTTTCCATGGGAGCCCACTTATAAAATTTAAATATCCTCTAATGTTTAAATGGTATACTTATATTTACCTCACATCTCTGAGATACGATTCAACTCCATTTCTGGTTTCTGGCAGCAAAAGCTACTAAGTTCTATTTAACTGCTTCCAAGTTAATGGACTTCTTCCTCTGTTTCAGTATTAGTAAAATCACACTCAGCTTTCCTAAAACTTCCAATTAAATAACAGTGTCTTTGAGAAGTGATGGGGGAGTTTCTGGGGCAGCCTCTGAAAATTACAACAGCACCACTGGAAGCAGCTGGAATTGGGTGTATGTGTGTGCAGGGGTTGGAGGTGGGTGTGTATTTCTGGAGGTGCTGTAAAGCATGGTTGCATAGCAAAAGGCTACTACCCCCACTCAAAAGTGGACCGTAACAGATGGCTAGAGAAACAGCTCAACAGGACGTAGTTCTTCCACAGAATCTGGTGTTTGGCGATCTTTGAAGCTTTTTCTTTTTGCCAGTGAGACCATCAAAGCCCAAATGCGAGTTGGAAGGAGAGCTGACAGAAGGAAGTGACGTGGCTCTGCAGTGTGAGTCAGCCTCTGGCACAAAGCCCATCATGTATTACTGGCAGCGAATCCGGGAGAAGGAGGGAGAGGATGAACATCTCCCCCCCAAGTCCAGGATTGGTAAGTGATCTTTCCACCAGTCTGCTGAGACAACAGAATGGTACTCTAGCCATGAATTCTAAATCTGGTTTTGTCAGCAACTCACCATGTGACCTTGAACACACTGCTGAACCTCTTTGAGCTTCTATTTTTCATCCATCAACCCGGACAGGGAAAAAAAAAAAAATCCATCTTTTCTTTCCTCAAATGGCACATAAAAGCGGCAAAAGAAATGAGGGAGAGATGTACCACAGATCCATGATACCTAATTACCGTATTGATGATCCCTTACACAGTTCCCAGGCTTTTGTAACCCTTGAGGATGTGCAACTTCAAAGAATGTTCACTTTTCTTTCCTCATTCCAAAAAAACCTATCATCTCTTCCTCACCAAACTATATTAGAGCATCTTAGGTCAACGATGCAATGAGGTGAACAGTAAACAGAGACCCTGTCACACTAAGAGAATTACAGTCATTCCTTCTGCTTGTGTGTAGACTACAATAACCCTGGACGTGTTCTGCTTCACAATCTCACCATGGCGTCCTCTGGGCTCTACCAGTGCACAGCGGGCAATGAGGCTGGGAAGGAGAGCTGTGTGGTGCGAGTGACTGTACAGTGTAAGTATCCAAGGGGCTTGTTCCTGCGTCTGCATTGTGGTTCCGTGTAAAACACTTCTAATCACAAGAGGAAGGTCAAAGTAAAAACCTTTATTTCCAGAAGGACATGGCTGTCGCTAAAATAAATTCAGCAGTTGCGATGACCATTCCAATCTTGGAGCTCACTCTCTGTTTAGGAACCTGTGTGAATTTGTCAGCTTCCTAAAGAAATTTATTCTGTACAGAAGGGGACCAAAGGGAGATTTCCTTTATAAATGTAAATTTCCCTTATAAAAGGGTATCTTCTACTTTGTTTTTAGAACTTTTGTGTTGGGGCGCCTGGGTGGCTCAGTCGTTAAGTGTCTGCCTTCAGCTCAGGTCATGATCCCAGCGTCCTGGGATCGAGTCCCACATCGGGCTCCCTGCTCGGCGGGAAGCCTGCTTCTCCCTCTCCCACTCCCCTTGCTTGTCTTCCCTCTCTGTGTCTCTGTCAAATAAATAAAATCTTTAAAAAAAAAAAAAAGAACTTCTTCTGTGTCTGCTGTTTCTCAGAGATGATCAACTGAAGGGGGTACCTGGCTGGCTTAGTCAGTAGAGGATAGACGCTTGATCTCAGGGTCGTGAGTTCAAGCCCCACACTGGGTGTGGAGCCTACCTCAAAAAAATCAGCTTAAAATAGTCCTAATGCCAAAGAGGCATATTTTGGGGTGGCATGATCTGCTACCTTTCAATATCAAAGGGGTTAGTCATACACCAAGGGTAAATGGGAAACTCAAGAAGACAGAAAGATCTGGAAATACTCACCTTGTCCGGGGCTTATGTTTTGCTTGTTTATTTAAGTAAACGCTATTCCCAATGTGGGACTCAAACTCACAACCCCAAGATCAAGAGTCCTTGAGATTGAGTCACATGCTCCACCTACTAAGCCAACCAGGCGTCCCAGGGCTTATGTTTTTTTAAGTTCATGTATTTCCTAGCTTATGTTTGGTTTTACCTCTGCTTTTGTTTCTGAGAAAATAGATGTACAAAGCATCGGCATGGTTGCAGGAGCAGTGACAGGCATGGTGGCTGGAGCTCTGCTGATTTTCCTCTTGGTATGGCTGCTGATCCGAAGGAAAGACAAAGAGAGATATGAGGAAGAAGAGAGACCTAATGAAATTCGGTAAACCTCCCTTCAAAATCCCTTCTACTAGACTTCCTTTCCAGAGCTAACTCTATAGTGACCAGCCAACATAAAGGTCTCATTTTGTCTTTTTTTTAAAGATTTTTTTATTTATTTGAGAGAGACACAGCAGGAGCTGGAGGCGGGGAGGGGGGAGCGGCGCGGCAGAGGCAGAGGGATAGGCAGACTCACTCTTCAGCTGGCAGCCCAACTTGGGGCTTAATCCCAGGACACTCTGATATATCATGACCTGAGCAGAAGCAGATGCTTAACTGACTGAGCCACCCAGGTGCCCCTCCCATTTCCTCTTAACTATTAATCTGTTAAAAGGATTATTCTGGTTAGGTAAGGAGTTCCAGCCTAGGGACAGAAGGTCTGTTTTATCTTGCCTTTATTGTGAAACTATCTATCCTCAACTGAGAATTAAAAGATAACTTTAGGTTACTTCTGATTCATTTCCACTTATAAAGGGCCTACAATCAAGAATGGGCATAACCTATGGGCCCTGAAAGGGTTTACGTAGGGATACCTGGATGGGCTCAGTCACTCTTGATCTCAGCATTGTGAGTTCAAGCCTGCGTTGGGCTCCACGCAGGGTGTGGAGCTTACTTAAAAAAATAAAAGGATTGGGCAACCCCCTGGGGTTCCCTCCCTCCTTGGGAGCTTTGTACTATCACTTTGCAATCCTCAATAAACCTTGCTTTGCTGCCCACCAAAAAATAAACAAACAAATAAATAAGGGTTTATGTAGACAAACCCCAAATCAATCTCAATGGTCAGTGCCTACTCTCCCAGAGTAATAGAGTTGACTTCAGGGCTAACAAAACATGTTTGCCTAAGCCAACCATGAAGTCTCAGGGACTGGGGAAGTGCCCATTCCCCTAAATGGCTGCCTTCCAGTGGTATCATGTGAAGTTGACAGCTTGAGGAATTTATTGGGAAACCTCAGACGGAAGCAACCATAGTGGAAGCCATCAGGGTCTTGTCAGTATTAAAGTTTACCTTTGCTGTTTTTTCTCTTCAGGGAGGATGCGGAAGCCCCCAAAGCCCGCCTCGTGAAACCTAGTTCCTCCTCCTCAGGCTCTCGGAGCTCACGCTCCGGTTCTTCCTCCACCCGCTCCACAGCAAATAGTGCCTCACGCAGCCAGCGGACACTGTCAACTGAAGCGGCGCCCCAGCCAGGGCTGGCCACCCATGCCTACAGCCTAGTGGGGCCGGAGGGGAGGGGTTCTGAACCAAAGAAAGTCCACCATGCTACCCTGACCAAAGCAGAACCACACCCAGCATGATCCCCAGCCAGAGCAGAGCCTTCTGAACCGCCTGAATTAGAGTGGACTTGACTCCCATGCTTTCCCGGGAGTCAGGATCTTAGGACTCTTCGTCACCGAAGCTCAGTCACCAGCCACACGACCCCTTCGAACCAGATGACAGGCCATTTCAGTAGCAGTGAGCATTGCATGGAACAGATTCAAATGAGCACTTTCTTTATATGACACCAAACAGGAAAAAGGATGTAAACTGATCATCTTCCAAAAGGCATCTCATGGTGCCTTGAGACCAGAGTGGGGAAAAGCGGGGGTCCAAATCTGTGTGTTTGTTGACCAGGACCTGTGGTGGAAAAGATTGGGGAAAGGGGAACTGAACACACTTAAAACTTCTCACCTGAGATATTTTGTATCAGTACTTCCGCTCAACGTTGTCAAGAAGAAATGAGATGTTGTTCATAAATTTTCTATGCATTTCTGCAAACCTACTGGATTATTGTGATTATTCAGAGTCAAGTGGAACCCACAGCCTTATATTTCACCTAGCTGCACCATGTACTGGGCATATTGCTTCTGAGAAATTTCAAAAAAGGAAATACATTCCTTCCGACCTGACTTCATTTACCATAAGGTTTGGATATTAATTTCACAAGGAGTTGAACTAGTGAGAGGTGAAGAATGATTTGAGTTTCTTCCCCTCTATCCACTACTAATCTCCCACTTATATTAAACCATAAGAGAACTAAGAAAGGAATTCAAAATGTGTGACAGGGGACTGTGAAAAACTTTCCATCTTAATGATGTTCAGAGGGTCACTGACATATCAGAAATATATACTGGAACAATTATGGACTGTCCCTCAAATCAGACGTCTCTGAGGACTTCCCTGCTGGATATCTGGAGCAAAAAAACATTCACTGTGTGTCATTTGACAATGTTCTTAGAAGTCTTTTAGAGAAAGAGATCTTTCAGAGATGCTAAAAGATCATCTGACATATCATTGCATTCTCTTCTGAGAATATATGAAATCAGAATTTCAAGACTGACTAAATGAGAAAGGGAGCTTAGATAGATCAATTTTCTCTTAATATGTTGAGGAGTGGTATAAGGAAGTTTACTATTACACCAAACTTGGAGCTTCCTCTGTTTCTTTCATTTTAGGAGAATGGTGTGAACCTGGGACTTTTGATAATTCTAGGCCTTAAATTATCAAAAAGATCAGGGATTGCCAGTGTTTCCTAATGGCATTGCAAGTACGTCATAATCATTCCCTCCTGAGAGGCTGACACAGAGAGAAATTCAGTAATTTCCCAGCCTCTGGGGAAGTCCAGGTCCGGAAGGAAAGGGAATTATATTTAGGGAAGGGATGGTGAGGATAACTCATGGGTGGCAGGACCAGGGCTGGATTAGTGACTGCTAACATTCTAACTGTCACCATCTTGGAAACAATGAACAGAAATGATTCACCAGGATAACCATCAAAGAGTTGATTCATGGAAGAAAGGTGTGTGAGAAATAAAAAGAAAAGCACAGCCTGCAATACAAGAACTTGCCTTTTTTAATAGTGTTGACTATTCTGTGAGTCAAATGCATCCTATGGCAAGAATGGTAGATCTGAAATAGCCCTGCAAGGACCTTAGGACAAATGTCAACAGATCACCATTGGTAGTGCAAAATATTTATGATTAAAAGAGTCATGCTGAATCTGGAGATGAAAGCATTGATTCTAAAATGGGAATCAGATGCTTAAAGAGAAAAGGCAGATCTGGGATTTGGCCCCATTTCTCTGGTTTTTCATTTCTACATTTAATTCTTACAAAACAGTCCTCATATAGTGCAAATGCATTTCCCTTTAAGGTTCTTTAAGAAAAAAAAAAAAGAAATGGGGGTTTATCCTTGGGTGAAAACTGTAATCTGAGGTTTGTCTTCCTCTTAAAAAAAGCTGGGAAATAAGAGACATTGAGGAAGTAATGTAAAGAATGTCTGCTATTAATTTAAGAAGGCTGGCATATTTGGAATGCTTCTTATACTGCCTCATTGTAAGATAGAAACCCCTTCCATATACTTTTTTATTCTTCTAGTAGTGTGGTAACCTATCACCTCTGCTATGAAATTCTGAGAATTCCCATTCCTAGAGTACCTGAGCCAAACAGGTACACTCTGGAGGCTACAGCTGTACCATCAGAAGCAATTTGCTCTTATCATTATTTACACCTTTGAACCTAATGTTTCCTGTATATGCCTTTCAAAGCAGGCAATAGTCCCCTTTGCATGATATGGAGATTTAGGTTATTTAAACATATTAGTTACTAAAAGACTAAAATACCAGTTGAATATCCAGATTTTGGGTATCTATTCACACTGGAAATCTACAAGAAAATTCACAAAACAGGTTAACTACCTAAAATCTGAGAAATTCTAAGGAATTGAAAATTCTGAGCGATAAGGGTGAAGTTTTAGCAATGAGAGTACACTTCTCTTAGAGTCAGGTTTTGGGGTTCAGATATGGCAAGCTCCGGGCTTAAGATGAAGTTCCGAGACACTACTGGCTTCAAACCATATTCCATTAACTTTAAGTCAAATAAATTTGATCCTTCAATATGAAACAAACAAAAAGGCAAGAAAGCTAAAAAGTAGAAGGAAGAAATGTTTGTGGGAAGAAGATACTGATGGAATGATGTGAATGTTTGGAGAATAACCATTTCAATAAAATATATAAACCAAACTTAAATTTGGAAAATAATGAGGTTGATGCCCTTGTTGTTACACTGTATAAAAATAATTTCAGAATTGCTGTTGCAAAAAGACATATAATTTTGCTTCATTTCTGGTATTAAGCTGTTTATATTTTAACTTCTAAGTTGCCTTGTAATTGAGACTGTATTTGATCACAAAAAAACAAATATTTATTACAGATGTATCTGTATTAGCGATTAAAAAATAAATAAGTAAAGGTAATACCGTAGGAGAAGCTAAAGGTCATGTAACCTGCCCTGGAAATTTGTTCAATAGCTTGCTGCCAAAAAAAGAACAGAAGAACTCAGTTTGAATATGATTATTTATTAATTTCAGTGACAAATATACCAAGTACTATTTTCTCACAAAGCAAGATACTTAGTAGTACTGGAGATACCAAGTTATGACAGAGATCCTGCTCTTAAGGACTTCATCAAAATAAATATTTACGAAGCAAATATTTTATACCAAGGTGAAGTGCCAACAGAACTATACATTAAGGGTTCAAACAAATCTCAAAAGAAGTAAACACTGATGAGATTCAAATAAATCTGAAAAGGAAAAAAACTTCACAAAATTAAATGAGGTAATACATGCAAAGCACTTATAACAGTGCTTGGTATGTGACAAGGACTCAAATATGTTCATCATGAACCCCATCCCCCAGTCAGAAACCCTAGGCTTCAGACTTCTTCATTGCAGTCCCTATGCCCGCAAACTTTAAATTTCCATCCTGAATGTTTCTGAAACCTTGTGTATTTAAAGAAGTGGAGACAGGACATTCATCTTATTGAGCTTTAAGAACATAAAAGTCTGAATCATTCTATTTAATAAGAGCATAGTCCAAGTTCTGCAATGTATTTTGAGTGACAGGAGACACGTTATCTACTCTTTCTTTAATCACTGCTGTTAGGTGGGATACTCCAAGCCACTGAATTTGGGCCCTTGTTTTATTTTCCAATGGTTCAATAATTAAAATGTTGCAGGTAGTCCACAGGTTAAAAGCTGCAAAATGTAGGGTATAGTTCAGAGACTGTACGTGATGGGTTGAGCGGGAAAAGGAAGATTGTAGATACTAAAGAAAATTGAAAGGAGCCTCCCACAACACACACCTTCCTCTTTCTGGAGTTGTGTAGTTACGTGTTTCTAGAAAGGAAATTATACTATAGTGTAAGAAAAAAACAGACCAAGGATTCTGGAATCAAAAGCGCTAGCCTCCATTCTACCTCAGCCAGCCGTAAATCCTACAAATAACATCTCCGAACCTCATTTTTCTCCTAATACCGGGATGTATAATATATATCTCAGAAAACTGTTTTGATGATTACGTGATATAAGAAATGAAACCCTTTGTACGCTGTAAAAGCATCATATAAAATTAATTTCTTGGGAGATGGGGAGAAATTTAAGTATATGCCTCCACGTGCTCAAGCCCAACATTGTTTCCCCTCCCCCCCGCGCCCGCCCGCCCCGGCAAAGGCAAATGTGAAAAGAAATTTCTTCCTTCATATGTTTGAATCTGTCTTTAGGCCTTACTGGCTTTGACAAGGACAAAGTGTCCTCTTCTGACAGCCTTTTTGGAGCCACTGTCTGGAAGGCCTTTCTAATTCCAGCCACAGCACTATGTTAGGTAGTTTTAAAAAGAATCTTTTCATTTATCTGCCCATTTATTTATTAAACAAGAATATCAGCTGCCCTGCCTGTTTGAAAGACACCCTGGAAAACATTTCAAGGAACTGACAAAGGCTCTTAGAATGACAAGGCCCAAATACCTGCCACCACGCACAATTTAATTGTAAGTACTACTGCTTTGTGGACTGGTTAGTAATGTTTTCAAGATGCCTCTGAACAATCCCTCGTTTAGTTTTTTTATAAGTCAAGGAAGGAAAAATAATACATCATGTCACTAAATATAAAAAGAGGCTCTAGAAAGTCTAAATCAAGGACACGGGGCTACCGGAACCCAGGTTCCTAATGCCTGATTCTCCGACACGGAAAAAAACTCACTAGCTTTTCTTTAACAAATAACTGAGAAGTGAGGGATTTGGGTGAGGGGAGAGGGAGAGCCAAGAAGCCGAACCTGTTTTTGGCGGGAGGTGGGAAGTGGCGGAGTTGTCCGGACTCAGGGAAGCGGGTTTGGACCTTTATTTCGCTGAGGGTTCAGGCACAGGATCCGGCCCAGGCGGTTCTGAGAGGCCGAACCCCCTCCAACCTCTGCCTCGAGGGCTGCCGGCCTTCACCTGCGCGGTGACTGAAAATTCTCGGGGTCGGCCTGGCTAACCTGTGCCACCCCGCTTGAGCTCGGTCCCTCCAGCCCCAGATTTGTGAACCCCCGGGCAAGTCACCCTAGCAGCGCCCAGGGGTCGGTACCACCCCCCCCCAAGTCCTAGTATTCAGTCCTGGCCCAAAGCCACAGTAGGTAGGAAACGTGGGAACATGGAATCCGGGAGGGCCTAGAGGATCCTGTACAACGCCGAAGTGGAGGTTGGGGGAAACAGAATGAGAACTGGGTGGGGAGGGGCGCAACAACCTTCGCGGCCATTTTGTCCTCGCTCTACTTCCGTCTTCCCTCCCGGGCTGCCGGCTCCGAGCCCCTCCCTTCTGGCCCTGCGCTCGTCCTCCCCGGGTTCCGCGTGGATCCAGATAGCGGCCAGTGCTGCTGTCATTGGCTGGTTCCAAATTTGCCCGCCCCTCTTCCTCCTCCTCCTTCCGTCCCCTCCCGCCCGTGCTTACTGGGAGCGCCTGCGC